TTTGTTCTCAAGTGTAATCCATTTAGGAAATAAACACAAGCTACTGGTTTACCACCAATGAGTTTATATAATTGATAAAAGTGTCAAAATAACGTTGCAGACCTTGATGTAATTTTGTAGCTACATCTTTTAATAGTTTTATTGTGATCCATTTTTCTTCCGTACATTTGTTGGCACGATTCTCGTCCCACAATTTTCAAGCTATTTCAACAAATCATGAATCAAAACTTTCAGGACAATCCTGCTATGACTTTCGGTATTGGTGCAACTTTAGCTTTTTGAAATATTTAGCCTTTTCTGCCATTTTTGCTCAGAAAATTAATTGAGCTCATTTTACAACCTTCACATCTTTAGATCTGTTTACAACCTTTTACTGTCCCTTTCACATTTTGTTCTGGTTCATCTTCTTCCAGATTCCTTGTGCAAATTTTAAAATTTACCAGCTACTTTCAGCTAATTTCAGCTGTTTTTTCAGCCATTTTGTGCTCCTTTCAAATTCTTTCTGCTAACTACAACATGTTTGTGATTCTTCTAACTTCTTTCTGCTAATTTCAACTTATGCTCCTTTCATCTTTTTCTGCTATTATTTAGCTGTTTTTATGCTAATTTTAGCTTTTTCAGCTAATTCCATATTTTTTGCACTCAGTTCAACTTTTTTCAGCCTACTGCTGCAAAAATGTGCTCTTTCCACTTCCGTCCGGTAATTTAAATTTCCTTCTACCCTTTTTGCTACTTTTCAGCTGTTTGTTTTTTGTTGTTGCTAATTTTAGCTTTCTTCCACTAATTTCCATTATTTTGTGCTCATTTCTGCTTCTTTAAGCCTAATTGGCAAACGTGTTCTTTCTGCTTTCTTCTGATAATTTAAGCTTGTTCTACTTTTTTAGCATTTTCTTTTGCTAATTTCAGATGTTTTCAGTTTAATACCATTTTTTTCATGGTGATTTCTTTGACTTTCAGCCTAATTAACTTGTTTCTGCAAATTTCAGCTTGCTATGCTTCTTTCAGCTAATTTCTGTCAGTTTCAGTTATTTCAGCAAATATTTAGCTGTTTTCATCTAATTTTAGCTATTTCAGCCAATTCTATATATATATATATTTTTTTTTTTTTGCTCATTTCAGCTCTTTCTGCCTCCTTCTGGTAGTTTAAGCTTCTTTCTACCTTTTCAGATTTTTTTGTTGCTAATTTCAGACTTTTTTGTGTGTTAATTTAATAATTGTTGTGCTCATTTCGATTTAAGCCTAATTCAGCAAATATGGGTTTCTGCTTTCTTCTGCTAATTTAAGGTTGTTCGTCCTTTTCAGCTACAATTCTGAATATGTTTTAGCTAATTGCAGCTGTTTTTCAGCAAGTTCTTTAGCAATAAGCATTTACACTGCATTTTCACAGGAAATGCAATTTATCTAGTTAATTTTATTTTTTATTTTTAACCTTTAATATACCAGGAAAAAAAAAACAAGAATAGTTTCTTATTTATAATGTTGGCCTGGCAAGTGCCAGATGGGGTAAAAAGAGTGGAGAACAATACAAAAACAAAAACATTAACAATAAAAATCAATTGAAAGAAGCATTAAAAACAATACAAAACTCATTAAAATAAATTAAATGTCTTATAATTCTACTTGTTCCTCAGATAGTAACATCTGAGCCGTCTTATTCATAACCCCACCTCACCAGCTGTCATAGTGTACTACTACCTCCAACCCATTGAGGGTGAGACCCCTTGGACTTGTCCAGTGAGGAGAGAACAATAAAGGGAGATAAAAAGCAGGTGGTAGAGGGTTGTAATCTGAGTTTAAACCAATCCGCTGAGCTCATCTCTGCAGACTTAGCCAGCTTTGAGTAGTCTGCTTTCTGCCAGGACAGCGAGATTTGACTACTCCCGTCCAGCCAGCCAAGTCAGCCATCAGTAGCCTAATCTGTCTGAGCCATATGGTCCTCACGTCCGCTGTCTCACAAACAAATTACTACACGTCTTGAAAGTGTGAGTTCAGAAAGGCACAGTTTGTAGAGAAACTGTATAGTTTTGTTAAGTGTTTTGACTGCTGAGGAGGTAAACAGATCTAGCTACGTACAGCGCTATGCCATCACATCCTTATGCTGATGTAAACTCCCTCACCTACCTCTGTCCAGGTGAGGACAGCCAAGTTAAACCTATAGGTTAAAAAAAAGATTCCCTAAATCCTCCTGTCACAATAACAAGTGTACTTTTTAAGCTCTACTAATCCTTTACGGTAAACGTGCCTGAGCGGATGTGATATAACCATGTATCACAGACCATACTGTATATGAAGCCCTCTGTAGAAATATTACACCAGACTGTGCTCTTTAGAAATAAAATCAACACAATACAGCGAGTCGTATCGAAGACACAAAACCTGTATTCTGGCTGAGTTGTAGTCGAGGTGGCGACAATAACAAAGCCTGGCTATGGGACTTGTGTCAGCACCATAACTACTTTCCTGTTGTTATGCTCTAATCCCTTGAGTCCAAGCTTGTTTTAATGATGTCATGGCAGACAAGTGCTGATGTTGTACCTAAGAGCCGGTGTAATTAAATTACGTCTTCTGACAAACAAGTCAGATCCTAGCATGGTGGATTACCATGGACAAACACCAATATCCACACCCTACAACAAAGCTAACACCTCTTCATCCAGCACTTGTCACTTATAACAAAAGAAAACAGCGTCACTGAGTGATTTTTACTTTTCTGATGTCTTGGTTAGGAAAAGCTGCCCACCACCAGCAGGCACACGAATGTTTAAATGAGCCTATGCTGAGAGAGGAAACACCTCTGCGGGTTCTCAGTCACGATGCTCGTTAGCCTCTGCAGTGCCTTCATCATCATTCCACATCCTGCTAAATGGTCTCCAAGGGGGACCAGATGGAAGTAAAACGTTAGTGGTAAATATGGCCCTCCTGGAGCTTACACATATGGTAAGTTCTTCTCAAACCACATGGTAACATACTAAGTAAATACATGTAGGATATACAGGTATGATATAATATATGGTGCAGCAGTTCACTTATCAAAAGATAAGTAGTATCTGTATGATTATCAGATATATGAATGATTTTCTTCGAATCAATTTGCTCTTTTGCATCACAGGAAAGCAAAAAAAGTGCAACAACAAATACCAAAAGCAAGCCATCTTCACAAAAAAATCAAATAAATACAAGTTAAAGATTTATTTGACAAAAACTGAATCTCTGATTTTACAGCAGTTACTGTTGGACCTGTGCTTTAACAAGAGTTTTACCTCAAATTTTGAGTATGCTGCATCTCATCAGCTGATTTATGAGCTAAACCGTAAGATGGAAGCGATTTGTGAGAATCGCAGGCCACCTGCGACTTCTGGGACTCGCCTGCATGTTGGAGATTACCTCATAAGCACGGACCAGTGGAATCCCATGAATTTTGGATCGAAAGTAAGAGAAGGACTCAAGGCTGACAACCCCCCCCCCCAAAAAAAAACAGTCTGCCTGAAAAAAAAAAAAATCAATTGTGGCTTATCTGAATCCAACTCCCCCGTTTTGCCTCGAAGGCTGGTCGACTTATCAAATTTCTCCTGGGATATGTGTACATTAAGGAAAAGCTTTGTCTATTGAACCACCACCCTGACAACTTCTGTGAAGGCTTATCAGAGCTGCACCGGCTGACACCAACATCTTATCAGGACTACGGTGCTATCTGGAATAGGAACTAATTAACAGAGTACTCGAGTAATCTACACATCGATTGCTAGGACCTCTATCGAGGTTAAAAATGTAATGTCGAGTATCCGTAGTGACGTCATATTATGTGACCACCGTATGACCGTAGGGGGCGGTGTTGCACAGTTGCAGGTCACAGAGTATGGTGTAAACCGGGTCCAATCCACCACCCATCCACTGTTTTAAGTTTTATTTCTGACGTGCTGCATGTTTCTTCACGTTTGCAGTTTAATAATAATAACTAATAGTTTAGTTTTTCCTGTGACTTATTTGCAGTATGATAAATGGTAGGAGCATAATATACGCTCCCAATGTTTTGTTGGTCTTTTCTTTTTGTAACTAATTACCTTTTATTGCGGTTTTACTTATTTTTGTATTTTGAGATCTATGACGTCATCAAATACTCGAGTTCTACTCGGGTTTTATTATGTTAATGTCGAGTTTAAAAATTATATACTCGTTCAACCCCTAATCTGGAAGTACTTCATGGACACATCTCTCCGTCTTGCCATCAAATGCATCTGTAATGCGTCTATAAATGCTTTTGTGATGTCTTAAATCGTGTCCTGATATAGGACAAGATGTGAAGAGATCTTTTTTTTGTAATACCACTATCCTCTCCTCATGGCCTTTCTCCTTTTCTGTCTGTAAAAAGTATTCTGAAAAAGGATAAGGGGCCGCGCTCCAGTAGCAGCAGCAACGTGCACGCCGCCCATCTTTCAGACAACTGTACGAACATAATCTCACTGTATTACGGTACAATGATAATAAAGCTTATTCTGATTCTGATCTTATTAGTCATAAATGGCAGATAATTATCACGCCCATCAAATATAATAATATTAAAATTAAATAATAATCAAATGTAGTCCAAGTTGTAACCATCTGTTTATGCACTGAACCGTCATCACATTATAAATCCTCCAAACTTCTGCAGTGACCAACATGAAATTAACCCCCAACATTCACAGCAGCAAACCATTCAGGTGTTGGCTCATTGAATAATTTCCTTTATTCCAGTTGTTATAAAAAGGTCCCTCTCAGTTCTGACTCATCCGGCAGTCACTCACAAATTGAATGTGACATTTGAGCTTTCCAAACAAGTTTTGAAAAGAGCTGCTGCCGTTACCGAGGTCCCTGCAGATACCTTATCTCTGCAGGCTCGTGACAGGCAGGAAGGATATGAAAACAAAGACAACAGCTTTCTCCCACAAACACAAACTGACCCCATCAGTCACTCGAGCACACACACACACAGATAAGCACAGAAAGGATGGCCATCTCACCTGGTCGTCCACTCTGTGGGCCACAATGGTGGCCCCCTCCTCCTGTTCGGCATCACTGAGGGGTCGGATCCTCAAGGCAACCTGCACCAAACAGGAATTATTCATCTTTGAATTTCATCAGTGCAGAGAAATTCAATTAACTCAATGTAGAAGTAATAAACCTAAACTCGGCCTTTCTGGGAAGTGATAACACCGACACGAGTCTACAAAACACATAACTGAGTCAGGCTAATTTTTCTCTGATATTACATTTGTGGATGCAAATGTTCCGATTTTTGTCTGTTAAACTAAATAAAAGCTTGAAACAAGAAATAAATTGAGTTTATTTGTTGACTGTAGCACAACGTGAGCTTCTTTCATTTATTAAAAAAAAGGACTTGTTTAGCTTCTGAACATTAACTTGTAGGAAAGCAAAACCAGTGAGAAATATTTTAAGCGTCACAGAAGGAGCTTTGATACGTCTTAATAAATAGTTCACCTAGAGTTTGTACGGAATGTTTCTTCAGCAGAAAGCAGAAATTACCAACAAATAAAAAGGCTACATAATAAAAGATGCCCAGAATATTATGGAGAAAGTTTCATAATAGCCCAAATTCTTGAAGTAGTAATTCAAAAACCTACTTAGCACTGCTATAAATGTCAAAAATACAAGTTTTTATCCTATACAACTTGATAATGAAAATAAATCATACAGGTTCTTTCGAGTTTATCCATTTCACTGATTCCAAAGGAGAATATTAATGTCATTTTAATCTTTTCTCCGTTTAGTATCCAGCCTCACAGCTCAAAGAAACACAGGTCAAGTGAAATGAAAACCTGACGCCCTCAGCTGCATGTATTTCACAGAGATGTGTCATAAATGCATTTTACAGAACAGGAAATGATGCATGTGTGAATGTGGCTTGTATTGCAGAGCGCCTGGAGCAAACAGGGTACAAAAATGCCATTTGTGAATCCATTTCAAATAAAACAGACTGTTGCAGCTGTAGGGTGTCATTTATGAACGGAACAGCCCCAAGCTGATGCACAAACACTAAAACTGAGGATTGTGTTTTATTTAATGCATTCGGATTCACCCTGCTGCTAGCCTTTATGTGCGTTAGTCCATTTCTAATACACTATAAAGTAAGTGGCTTTTAATAGAAATGAAATGATGCACAAAGAAATAGGTGGTTTGATCAAAACTATCAAAGATGCCTGCGAGAAGGGGAAATAAATAAGTCTGAATTAAGAGCATGCTTCTTTTACCAATCATTGTATTTCTGATTATCTAGTTCCACAAGGGCACCAGATGGCAATAATAAGGTCCTTTCTCTGTCAGCACCTTGTAGGTTTATTACAAGCCGGACAAGAGAGACCAAGGCGGCCGAAAGTGCCATTTCAATTATTTAGGCGTGTGCTGCAGAACACGTTTAGTGCGCGAGAGAAATTGAACATATAATACCAACAGCAAGCGCGATTAGGAAATGTAATGAAAAAATAATAATTACAGGAAGAAATGAGAGAAACGCATGCACCGCGGACACATTTATCTTCTTACTGAGCCACTGATTCTGGTCTAATATTACATTCAGATGACGTATAGTACTGTGGCCAGCTCAAATAAATTAATCAGGATAATAATGTCTACTATAATAATAGATTTTATCGAGCTTAAATTAGACCTGGGTTTACATTTTATGGAGGAAATGGAGCATTTGATCACTTAAAAGGTGCAAAAACGACAAATTAAAATGGTTAAATTTCTTACATTTTTAACTATATTTCACATATTTACACATGGAAGAATCTGATAATATGATTTCCATTTACATATTGGTGCCTTTATATGAAAATTAAGATGATTTATGTTCTCCAGTTCGTCAGCAGTTTTCTTCTAAGATCGAGCGGTCTTCAATCTGAGGCTCGGGGCCACATGCGGCACTTTGGTTCTTTTCTGTGGCTCTTTACAGCTTTGACCAAAACCAACATGGAAGTTTAAAATGTATCAATTTATAACCATGATGGGAAACAATAGAAATACGTGACAAGTCATTCTGATAACATCAAGAATGAGAAGAAATGGCTTGTTCAAAACTTTGAATAAGAATTACAAGTAAATAAATGCCCCTGCCTTTATGAGAGGAATTAGAGGAACTAATTGTTATAATTTCAAATTAAAATACTTGTATTAATTTTACACAAATTTAGAAAAGATTCACATAGGCCCTAGTTCAGTCGTCAGATTTGATTAAATTTCTACACAAGGAAATGTTTAATTATTTTGTTTTTGTTGTTGTTCTAATATATATATATAATACAAATAACTGTCAGAAAAAATATTAGATCTTTAATTTTCATAATGTCACAAACCTTATGTGTTTTTCTCTAACATTTAATGAATTGTGTTGACGTTATTTTAAGCTTTAAGTATATTTTGGCAGCTTTAGAAAATCTAATTTAGTGGGAAAAGGGCAATGGCTCTTTTGTGACTGGAAAGTTTGCAGACTCGAACCAAGTTGTTTTTAATTTTAGGTTAATGTAACTTGTCAGATTATTATAGCATAATTTCTGTCCTGCGTTCAAACTGATTAAGCTTATACAAACTCAGGATTAACCATTTGAGCTTTCAAAGCCTGATCATATTTTTTATCTTTCCATATCACTTGTAAAAATAGCCACGTCTCCGTTTTAATGAACATGACTTTTAATTTTTCTGACCAAGAGAGATGTGCACTGACCAAAACTTCCAAGTATTTGTAAGAATCGACAAACTCAATAGGAACACAATTCGTAGATAAGATAGAAGAACTGCTGGTACCGACTTCCTGTTTGAAAACAACATCCCTTTTGATTTTTATCAGCATTTAGCACCAGTTTGAGATGGAACAAATCTTGACTGGATGCCGAATGCAGACTGTAAAGCTGGAAAACCTTAGCAACTGTTTTAGCACCACAATAAACAACTTGGCATACAAATGTACAGATGTATCAAGAATGATCTGACCTACATTACTTATGTAGATTGTGAAGAGGATGGGACTTAAGACTGAGCCTTGTGGTACACCATTATTGACAGTTAACTAGCTGGAAGAAGTACCATTATGCTGAACAAAATTGCCTTCGATCTCAAAAGGTAATTACCTCATTTATGGTTTTTGTTTAAAACAGGTCTCTCTTGACTCAATGAGACTAACCTGCAAAACTAAAGGTTGAATGAAAAAAAAAAACTGGTTGAGAACAGATTATGGTTTCCATTAAGCTATTATCAACAGAATAGCTGACAAACTTCATAGTATACTAAATGTATTAATATATACATTTTTCATTAATAATTATTTCTTCTTTTCTTTCATTACAGTGAGGTGCTGATCTATTTAAGTGTACTTTAATCCAAAGATCATGCTGATGTTTGGGATATGTGCAGACAGTTTTACTCCAGAATATTTTCTTCAACATTTGATTACAGATATTATTGTTTTAAGTGAACTGGTACAGAATGAAATTTATTGATATATATATAGAGAGAGAAGGTAAAAAAACAGGGAAAATACTAAAATATGTTTGATTTTGCTTTTATGAGATAGAAACCCTAGTTAATATAAAAAAATGCAAACAAAACAAGAAATCATACAATATAATAAATAAGCTGCATCATTTTAGATGTTTGTCCCCACCAGTTATAATTCTGTTTATGCATAAATAACAGAAGAAAACAGAAGGTGATGGTTTTGTGTTGACCTCGAACTTCCAACTAATTGACTTAAGCAGTAACAAGCCCCTCAGCTGGGGGTTAAACTCACGGTTAGCTGGTGGTCTTTGGACTCCCCCGTGTCCTTCATGGTCCAAACGAGTCCAGATGAAGATGAAGGAGCATCAGCGGACCGGACACTGGACCATCCCGCTCCGTGGGCTCGGTACCTGCTTGCATCCGCCTCCCACTAAAACAACTACCTTTCCTGAGAGAGCTCACGTCTGCTGCCTGAGAATTAGCCCCGAACTTTTAACACGCGTTACAACAAGCTAATATTTATTTTATTTCTTCTTATTCGTCTTTCCACTTCACGGACAGCTACTCTCTCTGTTCGTTAGGTGGAAACAAGAAGTGAAATTCATTCGCCTCCTCTAGAGAAAGCTGAATAAACAAGGCAGGTGGCGGTCCTTCCATACATCCACCTAGCTTCTCTCTGTTGCTCTGCTGTCGATGATTTTTTTTTTTTGCCTGCGCGTGCTTGTGTGTGTTTTGTCTGCGCGCGCGTTGTCCCTGGAGACGAGGAGCAGCACGCGCGCGGCGCTAGCTTAGCAAGCTAGCTACTGTAAACAACAGCAGCCCGCTTCCGGTTGGAAAATAAAACACCGACCACGCTCACTTTTTTTTTTGCTTTTAATTCAAATTAAAATAAATAATAAAACAAATACAAATATGAAACCGTTTATAACTGGTAAATCTTTTCAAAGACAATGAAGCTAGCTGGACTGCAGCTAATTTAAGTATAAAGGCTAAATTAGCTCTTACTTTTAGTCACAGGAAAAACTTAAAAGCGTTTTATTAGAAACTTGTTTAAATATTTCCGATTACAGTATGAAGTATTATGAAGACAAATTCTTGAAATCAAAATATGAGGAACTTTCACGTAATTATTAATTAGCATTTCATATTAGCATCGTTCATAACTATGGCATTATCTTAAAATTCTGACTTATCTCATAATTGAGATGTCTTATTGTTGAGTTAGCGTTTCATAATTATGATTTAGTTTTCATAATTATCTTCTCATACTTATGAGTTACTATCTAAATTATGACTTTTCTCATAATTGAGATATCCAAAGTTATGACAGCATAATATATTTGGATATCGTTTTATAATTGGTTCATCATATCCGATATCTATAATTAAAAATAAGAAAAATAGACAGTTTTCTTATAATTATGGTTTAAATCAGTTCAGTTTGTTTTAATAGGACCAGTAATTAATTGTCATCTCAGGGCTGTACAAAAACTTTGCATCTCATAGGCAATTATTTCAAAATTTGAACTTGGGATCTCAAAATTATGAGTCTGTTCATTATTAAAAGAGCAGATATGCGTTTCTGAACTATTTTAAGTATCTTGATCAAACAAATATGTAAATAAATACAAAATAACCTCCTGTTGTTCATAATATTTTCCAATTGTAGTTTTGTATTATGGCTAACATAGTGAGACAGGTTACAGAATTTGATGTAACACCATTTTTTGAAGATAAAAACAGTATCACAGATAATTTATTTATTATCATTTGACATTTTTTTTAACAGAATTAAAAGTTTCTAATGTTGACCTTTATGCAGTGTAATTGTAGTTTAGACCTAAAATTTGTTATGCTAAAAAGTAGAGCCTTAGAAGGAATGAAACTTTTTTGGTGTATTATGCTGACATCTGCTGGATGAAATTAAAGAACCTTTAAAAAAAACCGCTGAATTGCAAAAAAATAAATCATTTGACAAAAACATATATATTTCAGACCTTTGAGGTGATTTTATACTACAGTCATAACAGTAACAAACTCAAAGATCCTCTACACTGACCTCGAACTTAATATTAAACATATTTAAGACGAACCAGAAAAACTAAATTAATTAAAACCATTATTTGGCACTAGCAACAATTAAATGCATCTATAATAAGGCTACAACTATTCAGTGGTTTTAAGAAAAACAACAGCAACAAAGTTTTTAAATGCTTTATTATGAAAGTATTTACACACAAACTAAAAATTAATTTAAAATGCCTAAAATGATCAAATCCAAAATGTTTTCTTTAGACTCAGCCACAGACAAAAATCAAGACTCATCATTTTGTATTCCAAGCTGGTTTATTCAACTCACATTTAGACCCTTGTGTACTTGGGTCACACAAAAATAAGCACCGCTCTCAGTGCCTTTACAGTGTAACATGCTAAAAAATGGATTATTAATCAACACTGCATGTAAATAAACTCACAAAGAAAAAAATAATTTTGTTAGTTATTTTTAAAAAGTGCTGTTTGGATAGCTTGATTTAGGATAAAATGTTATTAATCATAGCTAGAACATCACGGCTTCCCAAGTTATGATAGAAACAACAGATTTGTTTGTATTGGTTGGACTAGAATTAACAAGCTGTTGCAAAAATAATTAAAAAAGGGTGATCTTATGTGACACTGCCACACAAAACAAGAAAAATAAACTAAAACCAATTAAACAACAGTCTGTTATTGTACAATTTATTTACAGAAGCTGTGAGAATACAAAATGTTCACCATTACCTCCTGCAGTGTGCTGCCAGTGCTGGGTTTGTGCTTCACGAGTATTAAACAAAGAGGAAATGGCATGTTTACATCTGATATGTTCACATTTTATTCTTTGGAGACCTGGATGCAAATTGTGAGAAGTAATACATAAAGCTTCAAAGAGGGAGAAGCAGAAAACTTTTTTTTTTACAGTAAAATATTGCCAGAAATTTTGCCCAGTCTTTAATGTTTCCCATTTTTGTGTCTCTTAACACAAGAAGAGTTGAGCGGGTCACAGTAAAGTCAGGCAGGTTCTTTAAAGGGAGAGTCTGTGCATTTTGAAAGTGATGTTCTGTCAATTATTTATCAGTCGTTAGTAACATATCAGTCTTGATATCAGTCATAGAGCATGGTGTGGCAAGAAAAGGACAAAAGTATTTGTCTAAGCTAGATGCTAGCACAATAAAGGCCCATTTGTTTTCATTTATCAAACCTATACAACAACTCTTTCTCAAAAACAACATATCAGTGTGGAAGAAAGCTACAACAGCTAATGTCTTCACATTTGCATGAGAATATGTTTCTTTAGTTTGTTGTTTTGTAAACTAAACACCTGTTACCTCATGAACCAGAGGCGCAACCAAGTGGGGGCCAAAAGGAGACAATGACCATCCCCCAAAAAATGGAAGCCCTTACTTCCAAATCTTTTCATATGTCAAATAGTTAGGACGGGACAACCTTTTAATTTAGTAGTGGCAGGGATTTTCTCAATAAACAATATCAACTACAGTAGTCCCTCGCTACTTTGCGGTTCGTTTATCGCGGATTCGCTCTATCGCGGTTTTCAAAATAAGATTGGACATGACACAAAATTGGCTGATTGATGGCCGATCCGCACGATCGGCATGACATTTTTATTTAAAATACATTTTAAATTATTCAGCACCTGCTGCACCATTGTGCAGCCCATACTCCAGGATAAACTTACTGTTGCAGCAGCTGATCAGCTGTTCTCTGTGCAGAGCGGAGAAGTGGGCGTGGCCAAGAGCACTTGCAGGTGGCAAAGAGAAGGAGGCAGAGAGCTGAAATCATGACATTCTGTGCTCTTCTAGAGAGTTTAGAAACATTGTTTAGAATATTGCAAGAGTGTGAGAAGGGTTTAAAATGCCTATATATACAGTATATATATATATAATAAAATAAACTAACTACTTGTATTACTATTCCTACTTCGCGGTTTTTCAATTATCGCTGGTCTTTAGGGTACGGCTCCCCATATATAAACGAGGAACTACTGTATATAAAAAAAATTGAATTAGCCCTAACTCCTGTATTTGTCAAATAACCAGCATCACAGGATTTTCAGTGGCCTCCACGTGGCCACCCTAATAAAACGTTTCTGCAGGTGCCACTACCATCGACGTATGTGTGCTGAGCATACACAGTCACAGAGCAGCATCGCCCATCGTTCAATTAGCCTTTAGCTTAGCTTGATGAAAAACTCCTGCTCTCTTCTTCACACTTTCTATGACTGATTTTACAGCTGATAAGGTACAAAGTATTGCTATGGGACACAACATCACTTCAAAAATGACAGACTCCCTTTAAAGGGCAGATGTGTCCGTTATGAGCTTTAAATGCTGAAAAGAACAGTACAAATGTCTTTATTCTGTTGACCTGGAAGTGCACAGGTGGGACTTCTGGAGTCACCAGACGTTGTCTTTGTGATACTTCTCACAGCCACAAAGTCCTGCTTTTTGAGGGAAAGTGACGCTGCTTCCAACCTTCGACAAGTAAAGAAGTCTATGCTTGGAAGTCCCCTCCAAAGTGTCTACTTTGTTCTTCGGTCATGGACAGGTAGGTGGCCCTCATAGTGGGAGAGTACTGTTGAGGAAAGATAAGCACAGACATGCAGCGGTGACTAAACAGCCATACTGAGTGATGATATAAGTATGTACTGAGCACAATATTCATTTAGAATGGGGAAAAAAAATAAAGAAAAATGAACGTGTTCACTTAACATTTTTCCTTTGAGAATTAAATTTATGCCACAGTTAATATATTTATTGCCCGCTGACGAAAGGAGAAGGCAGACAGTGAGAATATGTCTAAATGCAATTTCATTTGTGTGCATCTGTCCCAAAAAATCTCATGAACCACTAAACAAATTTTACTGAAACTTGCAAAAAGTAATAATGGGACGGCCATTTACAGCTGATTAACCTTTGGAGTCGACCCATTTCAAGATGGCTGCCAAAGTTAATAGATATTAAAAACAGAAAAATGGCGATAACTCAGTTTTACAGATGCTAAGCTACAATCTGGTGTGGTAGTAGCTGAGAATCACGTCCAACACATACCAGATTGGGCTAAATCTCTGTTTAATATTTTACCATTAACTATTTAGAGTCAAGTCTTCACAGCCAACTAATTTTAGAAAACAATTGCCATACTGTTGTCATTTTTTTCAAATATTGTAATATTTGGTGTGGTCGTAGCTGAGAGTTACTCAGAATAGATACTCTAAGGGCTACTTATTGCACAAGCGCCAGGCTTAAAACGTTAGCATTAGCTGTTGGAATCAAACCCGTTTGTTAAAATATCTCATGAACCACTGGAAAAAAAATTAATGAAACTTGAACTAAACATTTGGAGTCAGTCCAACTCAAGACAGCTGTCACAGCCGATTCACATTAACCTGCACAAAAATGGTTATGAGCTAAGTTACGGTGTGGTAGTAGCTGATAGTCATTCACAGCATATACTCTAAGCATGGCATCTTGCAACGACGCATGAGATTTTTACAAAGTTATGTTCAAGGTTTGTGCAAAATGGCGACAACTGTCACTTCTCCGATGATATTCGTCTAAAACTCAGGCAGGACAGACGGCGGGCAACACCTTCAAGGAATGCCAGACCTTTAATCTCAGTGAAATACAGTAGTCCCTCGATACTTCGCAATTCGACATTCGTGGACTCACTCTTTCACGGGTTTTCAAAGTAAAATTGCACACACGATTGTCAGCTTTAATATTACTCACATGAAAAACAAAATGAACAAAAAAAAAATGCTTCGGACTGGCACCGCCATTTTGTAGTTTTCTTTCAATAAGCCTATACTGTAACGCAAGTCACAAGAACTACACGGCCCAGAAACCAACAGTGCTTTCGGCCAAAATTCAAAGAACAGTAATGGAAGGAGCAAGCACTAGCGGAGAAAGTGACGTGGTAAAAATAGTTTTGCAACGCAAAGTCAGAAGTAACGATCCATCTGTTAAGCTCCAGAACTGGAAAGTCGTAAATAATTCTGAATCTGAACTCATCTTTCAAGCTGTAGAAGTATCTTCACTGGTGAATACACGTTTCACACAAACGCTCATATACTCCATGAACCATGCTTTTCTGTGAACGTGCAGTTTTTGTGTGAATGTACTGATAGACAAGTATCCATTGATCTACAAGTGTGCTCTTATGTAACGTTTTGCGTGCGTCGTAATTGGTTGTAAATGTCATAAATGTGACTAATTGGCTTTTCTATGTAGCGGTATGTGAATGTTTCTGTTCAGGGCCCTGGGACAACTTTGTTGTGAATTGGCGCTATTTAAATAAACTGAATTGAGCTGAATGTAAATATACAGTACATATACGTTTGTTGTTAAAATGATGTAGGTTTAAGAGTTTAGAACATTTTTAAGAACATTGCAAGAGTGTGGAAAGGGTTTATAAAGCCTTAAAATATATAAAAATACTAAAATAAATATTGTGGTTTTTCATCTATTGCGGTGGTGTCTGGAACATAACCCCCACGATAATCAAGGGACTATTTTATTTATTTTAAAATCAACTCATTCCATTCATTAACACTTAAACACCTTTTATATTAAATACGTCCATGTCTGCTGCTGAGCACTTGGCGCCAGCACAAGCCGAAAGTTTGAGTGACTGAAACTAGACTGCTGCATGCACGGTGGGAGCTGCCTGTGGACAAACTACAGCGTCGCCCTGTGAACACTAGGAGGCAGACAAATTCTTTGATAGAAGGAAAAAAGTGAAATGAAGACAGCAGGGTTTTGGGGTTGCGAGCCATGCCAAACAGGAAAAACAAAAACTGCACATTACGATATGTGGAGATACTGCACAAGACAGGAAAAGGAAGAGGAGAAGAGAAGCAAAAAAAGACTTACTCGCTGTCTATATGGCTGAGAGTATATCTCCAAAAGTTGATAAAAGAAAAAAAAGGGGATCAGAAATAAAAAGGTACAAACACACACACACACACACGTGACAAACAAACAAATAAAAAAAACATATAAAAGAAGCTGTTAGCTGAAAATGGCTGCATGATGCTGCACAGTTAGTCATGGGGGAGAATTAGAATATTTATTATTTGCTGGTGTAGATTCAAAACAAAAAATATGTAAAACATTACATACATTGATGTATGTCTAGCTAGAGCTACATTTTAATAGTAACAATGAACATATTTATACAGTTTAAGACAGTTTCTCATACGTTAACACATTGCAAAAATACAAAAATCAAATAAAAAATAAGGTATTTTATGCATTTCTTTCAACCAAACGTCAAACTGACCTGCGTTAACTAATGCAGCTACCTTAAAGTCTTTAAAAGGCAGGGCCTAATGAAAATTTAATTCAAAACGTTTCTATTTTTATACCTGCTAAGCGGTGTGTGACAAAAAAATGCAGCGAAGAGGAAAATCTTCTGTGACAACAGTCAGTTAAGACCTGCATCGTTTTCTACTGGGAAAAAAAAATAAAAGGCCTGAGAGGTTAAATAGTGTTCTGACTGACTTAAACATTAACTACAGTATTTCTCCTCTCATTGCTTTGGCACTACAAGTCAGCCTCCTGTAAGATATTGGCAGCAGAGAAAGGCACAGTGAATCACTAAATGCAATGAGGTTTCCAAGAAAAGAACAGAAAAGGTGGAACGTGATTAACTGATGCTGAGGTTGCTAAGAACAAAGGCAGTAATCTGCAAAACTGTACATTTCACGAGTGATAAAAGGCCGCAGGTTTAAGCTTTGGGGAAAATATTATATAAAAGACTTGGTTTCTGGGACCCAACGCACCGAGGGGGGTGGGGAGCCTCGTCCTATCAGAGGCACGTTTTCATACCGCGGGTTTCCTCCAAAAAGAGCCGTTTGGTTCCTGCAACAAGATGAGATGAACAAGAAAAGCAAGTTAAACGCTTCAAACTGAACCTGTGAATGAATGAAATTGCGCTCGTCTCACATGTACTCAGACATGGGGCCGTTGGAGACGGTGGGGGCGGGCGGGTGCAGACTGGTCTGGCTGCCCATGCTGCTGCTGTAGCTGCAGAAGCTGTGCATGTTGGCGTGGTTGGGGTTCTGGGAGTCCATCCTTCTCGCTCGGGGATTGAACGGGTCCTCCTCGTCAATGTCATCGTAATCCCGTTCTCTAAATACAGAAGAGGAATTATTTTAAGAAAGTTGTTCTGAGGCCAAAAACTTTAAAATTATTGTCCACCTTTTGTGCCAAAGTTTTAAACCAAGATGATCACATGCTGAAAAATCTTGAAAAAAATACAATATTTGATCTAGAAATACGTAAATGACAGTTAGCGACTACTTAAACAAAGTAAAACTCACTGAGGTGAAGCCATTTTTGTGTAGGCCAAGGTTTAGCTGTGTGGGCCAACAGTTGTGAAGACAAGAGTTACTTTCAGAGAGTCCTTCATTTTAGATTAATAAATGTAAAATTGGCTTCGTTGCAGCCATTCTGAGGATTTATAAAGGTCAGTTGGATGCGGTGGCCATCTTGAATTATAAGTTCAAAAGTTACTCAGTTGCAGATGTAAAGCCAAGAGTTACTGTACTTTCAGAGAGTGTCATTAAAATATGTCCAGTGTTTTTATTTTTTTATTTTTTAGATATTCTGCTAACACAAAAACAGGAATGGCTCCAACAGTTACTGCCAAGGTTTTAAAAAAAGTTATTGCACAACGGGACAGCACGGGGCAGCACGGTGGCGCAACTGGTAGAGCTGCTGCCTCTCAGCGAGCAGGTCCTTGGTTCAAACCCCGGTCCAGGGGCCTTTCTGGGTGGAGTTTGTATGTTCTCTCCGTGCATGCGTGGGTTTTCTCCGGGTACTCCGGTTTCCTCCCTCAGTCCAAAAACATGCATGTTAGGCTGATTGGTAACTCTAAATTGTCCTTAGGTGTGAGTGAGAGAGTGAATGGTTGTTTGTCTCATTTGTCTCTATGTGGTCCTGTGATGGATTTGCGACCCATCCAGGGTCTACCCCGCCCCTCGCACAGTGATTGCTGGACATGGGCACCGGCGACCCCCGTGACCCAAAAATGGAATAAGCGGGTAAAGATAATGGATGGATGGATGGGACAGCACGGTGGCACAGTTGGTAGAGCTGCTGCCTCTCAATGAACAGGTCGCCCTGGTTCAAATCCCGGCTGAGGGCCTTTTTGGGTGGAGTTTGCATGTTCTCTCGTGCACGTGTGGGTTTACTACAGGTACTCCAGTTTCCTCCCACAGACCAAAAACATGCATGTTAGGCTGGTAACTCTAAAATGTCCTTAGGTGTGAGTGAGAGAGTGAATGTCTGTTTGTCTCTATGTGTCTCTGTGATGGACTGGAGACCTGTCCAGGGTGTCCCCTGCCTCTCACACAGTGATGGCTGGATATGGGCACCTGTGACCCCTGCGACCCAAAAAGGAAGAAGCAGGTAAAGATGATGGATGGATATTGCACAATGTGTTGCACTCTATGTTTTGGGAGTGACTTTCAGCTACTACCACACCAAATTTTAGATTAGTAAATGTAAAATTGGCTCAGTTGTAGCCATTTTGGCGATTTATAAAGTCAGTTGGCTGTGGTGGCCATCTTGCATTATGTCAACCTAATGTTTACCTTCGGAAAGCTTCATTAAAATCTGACAAGTGGCTCATAAAATATTGTGTTAACAGATTTGAGACTAAGCTTCATATACAGATCTCACATGATCAGCAAGTGCTCAAAATAGTTGTTGTGGATGACTCAGCTATGACAATACCAAATTTGAGCTCAATATCTGTCACATTCACCACATTAAAGCCACATGTGCGTTTACTAAGATTGCTCAGTGGCAGCCATTTTGAATCGGGCAGACTCCAGTTGTTAATCAGTTGTAAATGTTCAACTAATTATTATTTCTGAAGGTTTCATTAAAAAATCAGGTCAGTGATTTGTGAAGTATTTTTTCCTAACGGAACAGGTAAACAAGCGCACATGCAGACTAAGCTATAAGGACAGAATTTACATTTATGGTAGGCAGTTTGTCTATCTGTACAAGAAATATTCCCAGACACGCGTAGCTTGTTTTAAACAGTGCACGGTTTGCACGTGGAGATCTGTGCTGCATGCTAAAACGAGGGCGCCCGGGCAGGAAGTCATGAGCAGAAACAAACTGACCTGCTGGCAATTTGTCTCCATGCCCTGGGAACAGCGCACAGCATTACAGTGAAGGCACAGGCTGCAAGGATGGAGAAGAGGCAGAGGTACAGAACACCCTCCACCCCGTCATAGCACACCCCCACCATTGCATCCAGGTAGTCCTGAGGAAGACAAATAACGAACAATAAAGGCAACAAATGACAAACTGTCACACCAGATAATAAAAAAAAAAACGAGTTTAATGAATGAAACTAAACTTAAAGGGCCAGTCTGGATATTTTTGAAGTGATACTTTTTTGTCAAATATTTCTTAATAGATGGTACCTTATCAGTCATAGAGTTAAAAAAAGAAGCACAAATCTTCATCCAGGCTAGGCTAACAGCTAGCCAAACAAGAACCAGATTTTTACGGTTTTCAGGCTTCTAAAACAACTTTCTACAGAAAGAATGCTAAATTAGCCAATAATAATAATAATAATTCTCACCCCTTTTGCAATACAGTAGTCCCTCGTTATCGCCGGGGATCCATAAAACCTGAAGCCCCGCGATAAGCGAAAAATCGCAAAGTAGGGATAGTAGTACTATTGTGTATATATATATATATATAAATACACACTGTATATAATATAAAGGTGTTTTAAACCCTTCCCACACTCTTGCAATATTCTAAACAATGTTTCTAAACTCTAAACACTCTAAAAGAGCACAGAATGTCATGATTGCAGCTCTCTGCCTCCTCTGCTTTTTGCCACCTACAAGCGCTCTTGGCCACGCCCACTTCTCCACTCTGCACGGAGATCAGCTGATCAGTTGCAGGAGGAAGCTTATCCTGCAGTGTGGACTGCACAGAGGTGCAGCAGGTGCTACATAATATAAAATAATTTATTGTAAATAAAAATGTCGTGCAGCTCATCCATCAAACAGCCAGTTGTGTGTCACGTTCAGTCTTATTTTGAAAAACCGTGATAGACCGAGTCCGCGATAAACAAACCGTGAAGTAGCAAGGGACTACTGTGCACCGTTTAGTTTGTCGTTTTCTCAACTAAACAACGTTTGTGCTACTATGAATGTACGTGCGCTGAGAATAGATAGTGTAGCTACATGTTGGTGGTGCTGAGGCTGATATAAATCTTTGCAATCTTCTAGTTTTCTTCTTCTCCTAGTCACAGTGTAAATGTCAAGCCTTGCACGGACACTATCTTTTGAGCTGGCCTCTAGTTTGTAATGCTGTGATGCAAATTAGGCTTTGTTGAACAAACCTTGTTGAGCCCCCTGCAGTCCAGCAGGGCGGTGAGCTGATGCAGGCTGGCCTCGGAGGAGTTCAGCAAATGCTGGATACCCAGTAAATCTCTCTGTGTGGAGAGGTTGAAAGATGCTGCAGACTTTATATACAGTCCTCTGACACCACATTTAAAACCATTTTATAGTCTTACCTCGGCTGTGGGAAACAGAGGCACGGCGAACTGCAGCAGGCCCTGAATCTGGATCTGCATGGTGGTCAGAGACCTCTGGAAGATGGTTAGAGGCTGCGAAGGATTAAAGAGATGAAGAGCAAGCAAACGAGGTGTAGAACTAATCTAAATCATGTCTTAAAGGTTGAATTATACTGACAAGAGTCTGCATACCACACAAGGAATGCAAAGCTCTCAGGCTGTGTAATGTGGGATGTTTAAAACAACAAATAAACCTATCTGTCCTAAATGTCATTTGTGTGGTTCCATAATTGCAAAATCAGTTAGCAGTAGATTTTACCATGATTATTCCAGAGTTCGCTCGTTCAGGATTTCCCTCCTTAAATTAACTCTTTTTAATAATAAAGAACCATCAAAGTTTTATTACATAAGTGATTTGTCCAAATGTCTTACTCTAAACACATTATATTTAGGGCACCATTTATTTAATGAACAAACACCTTTTTCAAATTTCATGCTCAATAATCCAGGTAAAAAAATCCAACAAAGTTCAGTCAGGTCGTCTGGACAGTTTCTTTTATTCCTGTTGAGTTGTTTCATCCGTCATCCAAAGGACTTCATCAGTCCGAGGAGCCACAACAAACTCAGTCCCACAAGCAGCATAGTGGACCAACCAGTTTTATAGTGATAAGATGGTTTCTGGAGTCCACCCTCTCCCCCATCCACTCCTCTGAGGAAGCCATGGCCGAAGTGGTTCAAAACATCAAAGTTCATTGAGTTTGTTGTGGCTCCTTGGGCTGATGAAGTCCTTTGGATGAAGGACGAAACATTACAATAAATAAATAAATAAAAATTAAACCATCCTGAGGAACTGACTTAACTTTGTTGAAATTTCTACCTGGATTATTGAGAATGAACTTTGATGTTTTTAACCACTTTGGCTATGGCTGCCTCAGGAGGTTTCAACAACAACAAAAAAAGAAACCATCCAGAGGACCTGACTTAACTTTGTTGGATGCACACCTTTAGTTTTCACAGTAAAGTTGTAGAATTATATTTCTACCAACAGGGGGCAGAGTTCTTCTCCACATTCAACAAAATAAACCGAGATTGCTTTTGACCTTAAAGGTAACATTGATGTATTTTAGAAAATAAATTAAGCTCTATGGCTGTGAATGAAATAATGTGTCATATTTCCAAATTATAGCACAATCGTCAGTCATTCACCCCACACAGGAAGCCTGGAAAGCCCCTGGCCTGTGTCACAATGTTAAACTGAAACAGGATATGGTCAATTAGCTCAACTATTTATAAATGTAATATCTTTTCTCTGATCTGACATTTGTTTCTACATCTATGGAACTATCTGTGGTCCAGCTGCCTTGAGCTGCACTGTCTAATAGCTCGATCAGATTTAGCGTTCCCCTTTAGCCGAGATAAACATGTCTGGAGGAAGACAATAAGAATAAAATGGGATAATAATTTAAAATATGGATAAACAGGGAATGGGCATTGTGTGAAATCCAAAGCAATGATAAAGCAGGATGCTGAGCACTGCTGCTGTACTGTGCCTGACAGTACATGAGTGAAATCCAGTAGAAAGATAAAATATAAAAAAGAGGGAAAGCGTGTTTGCCGGCCAGTCATCTTCCAGTTTGCACCTGCTGGAAATCTGTGCGGCAGAAAAGAGAACTTGTTTACCAGGATGGGCGATGCTTCTCTGCCCTCGGCTGCTGTGCTCCGAGGAACATGTCAAGAGCCAGATAATAAGATTTGAGCTCTGCTGGGTCAGAGCTTGCAGAAATTGATTTAGCTGCCGACTGAGGAAGCGAGCGATGTGACCCAAAATCAACATTTTTACTCTGCTCCTCTGAAGAGAATAAGCACAGAACATGAAAGAGAAGCCGAATTGTTTCATCAAATAAGCCGTTTTATAGCCAGAGCCTTTTGTCTGGGCAGCTTTGTGTCACTTTAGGCATGCTCTGGTAAACAAGAAGTCCAGGAGAAACAGAGACGGTAGAGGATTGAAAACTGTGACCTGACGTTGGGGCATGAATCAGTCAGAGAGGACTGGACAGAAAACGATAAAGATGAAACTGGAGGGGCAAAAAAAAAAAAAGGAAGACTTTTTTCTCAAAGCATATATATTTTATTTTAAATTCATGTGTGGAGCCAGTTGTGGAGCAGTTTTGCTATGTTTAGGCTTTAGCTACTGTTTTGCTCATTTTAGCTGATAGTTTTACTCGTTTGAACTAAAACGCTCCAGCGCCTTCTGTGATATTCACACTGCATTTCTGCAGAAAAAGCTAAATCTTTTACTTGTTTGTACTCGTTAGATAATTTAGGTTACGAAATCCTCATCTCTTATTTTAGACTAGCAGTGTTCTTATTTTAATTATATATAAATACAATAGGCTGAATATTTTTAATTCTATCTAAGATTTTATCATATTGCTGACAGATGATGAGCCTCGAGGATCTTCTGTTTATTTGGCGGCACCGTTTCTTCTTTCGGCTGCTCCGTTCTTCAGGGGTCGCCACAGCAAACTAAACGACCACCGAGCTACGACAGCCATCTGTGTGGAGCAGAGAACTGCAAACTAGGGTGCCCGGAGGAGCAGGTGGTGGGGGTTAAGGGCCTTGCTCAAGGGCCCAGAGTGGGGCAAATGAGGCAGGTGAGGGTGTTCACCATTCCGTAATTTGATGTTATCGGTATGGGGAGTTGAACCGGTGACCTTCAGATCACAGGCCCACCTTCTCTAACCTCTGCACCACGATTACCCTAAATTTGGTGGCACTGTCGCTAACCTTTTCATTTTTATAGAGTCAAAGAGACACTGTCTCTTCCAAAAAAACTATTTTTAAGCGTAATTACCAAAGGACACGGTTTTATAAAATATAGGGCAATAACTAAAACATTTCTTGGATTTCAGTCTATACTGTGAAATACTCCACCCTGAAAATAAACGGACATTCCCAGAGTGAATCATGATGTTATGACCTCCATCTTCCTTTAACACCTTGCCCCGAGGAATCAGCCTGACGTTTGTTTTTATAAACCCCGTGAGACGTGATTTAACCAAGACGTGGAAGTGATCAGTAACTCAACAAGGTAGTATAAATCCTGTTCGTTTTGTATCGCAACACATCCCCTACCTGCTGAAAGGGATTAGAGAGAGTCTGGTTGCAGTAAAGGTAGTAGTGAACGATATCTGTGGGAAACACAGGAACACGTTTCAGCCTTCATTTGTTAAGCAGCCACAACACAAGCTGATTATTATTCAATATTCACTGTATTATTATTCATTTTATGCACACGGAAGCTCACCGGCGGTGATGATCCCTTTTGTCTGACTCATGATGTACTTGTCAGGCGACACACAGAAATCACTTGTGCCCTGAAAAAAAAAAAAAAGGAAAACAAAAACACGTGAGGACGGTGAACCTTTAAACGAAGGAATGTATTTCACAAGGAATCATTTAGAGCCGGACTGAATCAGGGCGTCAAATTCTTAGCAACCTGTCTGACGTTTTGTCTTTTTGACACAAAACGAGGAACTAAAAGCCTCTTTTTGACAGAAATACTTCACTGTTCTGTCACTCATAACCACTTTCTCTACATGGCAGGGTGCTAACAAGAAGCGCGCCTTAGCAAAAATAATAAAAGTGATGAGCAGGCAGTCTCATTCGTACTGCGCTGTCTGAATGCTAAATGTCCCACGGGCCCAGGACAAACACACTGCGTGTAACTTAACCTTCTCTGGGGGTTACACTAATGAGCCCCAAACACTCAGATGAGATAAAGCGGGATGAATCTCTCTGAAAACCAGAGCTCGTTTGCTAACAGCAAAGGAGGCCGAGGAGCTCTGCGACTGAGGGGCAACTGTGTTGGAATTCCTGAGGGGACAACAGAGAAGCTCGGAGAATGCAGTTCTGACTAACCACGGTCTATAATTAGAAGTTCTATGAAAGTGTGTGTGGGGGGGTGCCAGTTCGTTATGCATATATTTATTGTGCTTTTATAGAGTAATCCGGTGTAGACTAGAGAACACCCGCAGTTTGAATATTCGCATTCAGATCAATGCACATCTGTCACCGAGTGATGCAAGGATGTATGTCGGAGTGGCGCCACCCATGGAGATCCTCAGAAATGCAAATGAAGGCAACGAAGCTTAGAGAACAGCAACAATGCTCCCAATTTAGATGGAGGGAGTCATGGAACGTCAGAAGTTTTAGCAACACTTCAGATGTAGTGTATTTGAATTTGGTGATGGTATGGGGTCATGAGAAGTTTTTCCACAGTAATCAGTGCCCTTTAACTGAAAGTTGGAAGCATTTAAATCCAGCACTGGAAATGCAAAGCTTTTTGCAGTGTTCCTCGTTTATACATTCACTTTCATTCTTATCGCCCGGCACCAAGCGTCTGTTACCAAAATATCTCTCCAACCACTGGACAGATTTGAATTAAATCTTTAGCAAATAATCAATAAATTAACATCTACAAAAGCCTTTGGACTCATTCAGATTCAAGATGGCTTCCACAGATAATTTGGTTGAAGAGACGACCTATAAGGTGGCACGTTGATCTAAGATTTGGAAGAAATTTCAGTTGTTTGTGGCCACAGATACACAATGGCAGGTCGAGAATCACATGTTAAGATGGAAATAAATTTGAATAAAAACTATTCAATTGTAACAATTCATTATAAGAAATGAGGTCAACTCAGCATAACAAGCCAACCCTAAACAAATAGTGGGCTATATAAGGCCCCATTATGTGAACAATGTCCTGGAAACAGGTTATTGATTGTAAAAATACTACACATTCACACGGTAATGCTACGATTGCAATCACTGTTTAAACGAGACCACGAGAGATTGAACCCATTGGAGTTTACATCGTAGCAGCGCGTTTGCCTTTACGCAAGTTGTGTTTTCTCTGATATGATGCCGTGATTATCAAAAAAACTTCCCTTCAATGCATGGGCGTCAGATGCATCTGTAATGTGGGGGGGCCCTATAGTGTGTGTGTGCACGCGCGTATATTAAATCTATCTATTCATCCATCTATAAATCCATCCATCCATCCATCCATCCATCCCCTTCTCGCACTCTTGCAATATTTTAAACAATGTTTATAACTCTAAAAGCTCAAACAGCACAGAATGTCATGATTTCAGCTTCCTGCCTGGTCTGCTCTTTGCCACCTGCAAGCGCTCTTAGCCACGCCCACTTCTCCGCTCTGCACGGTGAACAGCTGATCAGCTGCAGGACGAAGCTTATCCTGGAGCGTGGGCTGTAGAAAAGGTGCAGCAGGTGCTAAATAATTTAAAATAATTTATTTTAAATAACAATTCCATGCTGATCATGCGGCTCATCCATCAATCAGCAATTGTGTGTCATGTCCAGTCTTATTTTGAAAAACCGCGGCAGAGCGAGTCCGCGATAAACGCACCGCGAAGTAGTGATGGACTACTGGATTTTGCTTTTACCTGAGACTAAATTACTCGTTCAGAACTTTAATAAATCAGTATTTACTCAGACATATAAGCGGTCTATGACTAATTAGATTGGTGAGTTGTTGAACATCAATGCTGTATGACGATACGTGCATGTTCAAACATGTCCATGTGGAAACACATGAACAAGTTGACAATGTTCCACACGTACATAAGAAACTTTCAGACCATGTGATTCATATAAATACAATTAAGTTAAAAATAAGTATTTGAAAACAAACTGTGTTTTAGTGTTATGAACAGAATATTAATTGTTGTTTCTTGTAGTAACAAGGAGTTTTACAGCTCAAAAAGCTTGATCACATCTAATAAAACTAAAGTAGCAGATTAAATTACTTTCACAGCAAGTAATGCTTTTTAAGGGCAGCAATCTGCATGTCTACTGTAGTACATACTTTGAAAAATATTGTTTAGTAATGACACATCGTGAAAGAGCAGTGAGCGTTTGTTGAAGTCGGGGAGGCAGGAAGAGCTCACCACAGCTGTGGCCAGGTCAGCTCCCAGAGACGTCCAGCTCAGGATCAACGTCAGGACTCCAAACACCATCATCCTGCAGCAACACAAACACCTTGAGTACACGGCAACTCCACGGGTCGTTTGATTTATGTACCGACCACCTCTTTCTGCGTTCAGCACATGCAGGTGTCATTTAAAGCAGAAGTCTGAGTTGTGCAGAATCAAGTTCTAGAATCATCTGAAAACGTAGATCACAGCTGCAACAAGAACGCTCACGTGACATTTGATCACCTTAGGTAATTTATATTCCATCTTCTTTGTCATTTTAAAAATTCCTCTATAAAATATTTGTCACTTGCAGATCGGCTGCTCTGCCGGGACTTTGTTTATCTGTTTGGGGTTGGAGAAGTGAAGGCAAACAGAGCCCGTTTGTCAAATCAGTTCATTTGGGAAGATTCGACATACATCTTTAAAAAACTAATAATAATAAAACCAGCTTCTTTAATTAAATATATTTTCTAAAACAAAGGAAAATATGATGATAAAAGATAGAACTTTATTGAGCCTGCAGGAAATTGTTGTGCCAGAGTTTCAGTAAAAAGTGACACACACAAGAGATAAAAAAAAAAAAAAAAAAAAAAACTGAATATAATGATGTGAATAAATCCACAAAATGCTAATTAATTTGATGACAATTGTGGTTATTTGAACTCTTTAACAACTGGACTGTTCCTCTACTCTTCAGCTCAGAGGATGTGTTGTAGAAAAAGACCTCACAATTCTCCATGTTCTTTAAATCCATCTCATGAAGAGCAAAACAGAAGCTCTAATCAGTAAAACAGTAGCTAAATGTAGCTAAATCATAGCTAATAACTAAAATTAAAATGAATAAATTGTAGCTAAATGCTGACATTAATAAAATTGTAACTGGTAAAATAAGCAAACAGTAACTGGATGTAAATTGTAGCAAATAGTAGCTAAACGCTAAATGTAGCAAAACTGTGGCCAATGACAGTTTAATGACCAAAACTGTAGAAAAAGCTAAAATGATCAAAAAAGTAGCTAAAAAAAATAGTAAAAATTATAGCTAATAGTTACAAAAGAAGAAGGCAGCAGCTAAAAGCTATAAAGGAGCACAAGAACCAAAAATAGCACGCTGAAGTAGATTTGACAAAACAATGCTTTTCAAGAATTTCCTGCGGGATCAATAAAGTTTTATCTTATCTCTTATCATTTTGAAGGAGTTAAAAACATCTTAATATTTTTCCAAGGGGTAATTTTTTGCAAATACCAGTAATTCAAAAACTCAAGACAAAAATCCTAAAAGTTTTAGCTCGATATTCTTGCTCAAGCCGTACATGTTGCTACATTTTGATTAAATAGCAGAAAATATGCAGGAATAAATTGATCAGAACTACAACAGTCGAGATGAATCAGTGCTCATGCAGTAAACTTTGCAAAGGGGGAGACAGTGACAGTGAGGTGTTTAAACGTTTAGTTCTTTTTTCAGTTTAAGGGAAACACCATGAACCCAACGAGGAAGTCCTAAGAGAAAAAACTAAAAGTGTTGTGGTATCACAGTGGCTGAGCTGCTATGTAAACCAGAGACGGATCAGCAGCACTCCTCCGCTCTCTTGGCCTACATCTGATTAGAGCCCCCTGGGCCCATGGGTGTTCCATCACCCATGAGGATGCTCACATTTGTTTTTGTTTCTCAGCGGCTCCCACCCTGATGATGTCAGTTCATCAGAAAACGGCATTAACAGCGTTCGGCTGCACGGGCTAACAGATTACAGGCTGCAGATGAAGATGTCTGCTCGCGGGGGAGGTCAGGAACTTAAAAAAAAATAAAAATACTCCGGTCAAATGAGATGCTTTAGTTAGCTGTATTTACCATATACTTCGTAAGATTCAGCTAATTTGACCTCAGAGGCATTTTGCAAATAACTCATCATGGATACATATTTATCATCATCAGCCTCTACAGCTCAGATATAAATCTAACAGACCTCCTATAGAAACCACATGTGATGCGTCTGTATCTGTTGACCTTCCCTACAGGAGCTTTTCAAAGCTCACTGCTCTGAGCTCTTCTGTACGATACCAAGTCCTCAGTGAACTCTGACACAACATGAACAGAAACACAGCGAGGCTGTTTCAAACCAGCAGCTAGATCAGAAGCAAAGCCCACACTCGTTCAGCTCTGTAACTGCAGTAATGCATCTGTAGCAACTCTTTTAGTACCTGTTATGATGATTAAAATATCCATTTCTAAATGAAAGTATCTCACTGGGCTGTGTTGGCCAACGACATTCATGAGGGACTCTGCAGAAAGCCGTGTTTGCAGTGGTTCTTAATTTATTTGCTTGCGTTGCAAAGGCTCGCAAGTCTTTGCCCTTGAGTTTTGAACACGTTCAAAAAACTAGTTTGACAATCCGTCTCAAGACGTGAGCTGAATTTTGACGTCTGGACAGGAGCTCTCTGACGGAAAACATGTGAGGCACAAGTCCAGAGCTGTGAACCATGCTGATGTTTAATCATTTTTATTGAAACACTGGTCCAAACGTGGTGAATATGATAAAATAACGCAGTTTTGCAAACCGTGTACGAAAAATTAGCTTCTCTTTTTTAAAAATTGGGTCATTCTAAAAGTGGGCACACAACTTGCTTGGTCACAAAGACTGCAAGGGAAATTTTGCCCATTTTCTTGCAAATTTTCCCACAATTTGAGTCTCCAACTAGTTTCCAGCTCAGTGAGTACCACCATGATCGTGCACGTCTCTTAAAACACTTAAAATGAATACAAATGAAGGTCAAATGTTGCATTAACAACATTTAAAAGAATAAGGAGCATGTAATTTAGGCACTGCTTTGTTTTCTAAAGCCTTGCACTCAAATAACTAGGAATCACTGACCTACTTCCCTATTTGGCTTCCTGTATTTGACTCCAGTGAACAACAAGAGCTGCTTGAAACAAGTGCTGCACTTGACCTTTGACTTGGCGAACAGGATTGTCTGATTGTCCTCTTGGTGCCAGCAGGTCGAGCACCGGCTGAACAAGCGACAGGCAGGCGCTTCACTGACTTTACAGCAAATGGGGTGTAAACCTCAAGCCAAGAGCATCGAGCGAGTGGCAGAGGCCAGGAGAGCAGGGCACACGATGCAACATCGGATACACTCCAGTCACTCTGAATGAAATCACACTGGGAAGTAGATTTTCTTCTTGTCTGGAAAAAGAGCTGTTGCTGGTCGAACCATTTAATTAAAAAGAAAGAACGCTAGAGCAACATCTTTAGACAAACAGGGATTCAATCCTTGCACCAAGCCTGTGGTTCAGTGGTTAGAGAAGTCGCTCACCAAGAAGAGTCGGAGGTTTGATTCCACCATTATGCAGTCACATGTTAGTGTCCGTGAACCCCTCATCGTCTCCGATGTGATCTATAGTATTGATTAGTCTCTATAGAATGACTGAATACTTATGAAGCAATCCGTGTTTTTCAGCAGGACTCTCATCCCACAGTTTCCAAGCTGTTTCAACAAATTGTAGTGAACTTGACCTGATGTCAAAACTAAGCCTAAGGTCAAAACCCTTGACCTTAAGAACCTTGTGGGACAGAAACTGTCATTTCATTGATTTGAATCCAGAAATACAGGTTCACCCATCCTGAGACTTTCTTTCTTGAAAATTCAAGTGAAAGAACACTCTTTTCTATTATCATTCCTGTTTTACAAATGTTTGATAATCAAAGTGTTTTAGTTCAAACATTTTAGATGTTACAGTGAACTAATCAATGTTATTAACTGTAAAACAGTAACAATGATTTTTGAGTTGCTTATGCAAAGTTAGAATTCATGTTAAGGCCTGTTACAGAGTAATTATGCATTTTCTGATTTCTGTCTTTGAATGAGCAGTGTACATTTTCCAAGGTCAGGAGTCGAAGCAGACCAGTGTTGGAACAACTGTCTTGTTTTTAAATCCTCTCAGACGTAAACAGAGAAGTTGGCACCTGTTTCTCCAAACTCGCCCAAACATTTCTCTCTCCTGTCTGGGAAACATCTTCAATCTGTTCCATAACATTCTTGCTGGTTTCTGACTTTCCATAACACCTTACATCACAAAACACACCCCTGTCTGGTTGATATTGACCAATCAGAAACTCTCAAATGAACCGGGAATAGAGCCCTTTAAAATGTCGGTACTTCCTAGTTCTCCCAGTTCTGTGTGGTAGCAGTTCTGTGTTGTAGCAGTTCGGTGAAGTGGCAGTTCTGTGATGTGCCCAGTTCTCAGTTCTGTGAGTTCTGTGAAGTTCTGTTGGAGTCTGGCTGGGAAACAGGAAAACCCTGACATGATAGAGCTCTTCCGAGTTTTATGGGATTATAACATCTTCACCTCTGAGTGGAACTCGGACGAACCACACTCATGTGAGGTCCACTGGCTGAGGTGAACTTGTGTCAGACGGGATATCGTCACTACTTCGGACGAGTCACAGCCATCCTATGGAGACGCTGGACAGGTAGCGTTAACTGGAACTCCGTATCCGCTGATTCATCTTCAGAGAGGTAATGAGTCAAGTTCACTACCGAGCGTACCGAGGAAAGCTGGGTTCGAATGGAGAGTGTCGGTTCTGGTCAACACTCTCCCTCACACACCATCTTTTACTCCCTTTAAACTTCATTTTCCATCTTTAAATTCTTCTATCAAGCAGAAATCATTCCAGATAATTTAGAAATGTCTGTGTAAAGTGCTCATCCACCGCCGTGTGGATAACTGATCATAATTGTACAGCTCGCTGATTAATTATGTTGTTATTTTCATATTTTGCCAAATTAATGTAAATGTTTGATGTGTTAAACTTGATTCTGTTAATAAATGACCCACTGTCGTGGTGAGTCAAAGATAATTAACGTCTCACGTCCACATTTCATTAAATTCAATGCACGTTTATATTCAGTCCAGAAAAATGAAGAATCCGTTTTAATTGATGAATATATCTCAGCATCTGTTCATCTACAAAATCATAAATCAAAACGTTCAGCTCTTTCAGGACAATCCTGCTATGACTTTTGGTATTTGTGCAACTTCAGCTTTTTGAA